CATGCGCCACCATGCCCAGCTAATTTTTGTATTTTTAGTAGAGATGGGGTTTCACTACATTGGCCAGGCTGGTCTTGAACTTCTGAGCTCAGGTAATTTGCCTTTCTCAGCCTCCCAAAGTGTTGGGATTACAGGCGTGAGCCCCTGCACCTGGCCTCATTTTACATTTTCACTAGCAGTGTACGTGGGCTTCCCCTACACCACATTCTGAAGTCTAAGTCATTTCAAGTATGTCAGCTATAGGTTTATTTGTTGGTGTCTTAGATGACCTTTACCGGATTGAGGCATTTCCTTTCTATTCCCAATTTGCAGATATGAGAAATGGCTGTTGACTCTTCTCAAATGTTTTTACCTCATTTATTAATATAATCATATGTTCTTTCCATCTTGTCTGTTATGATGAATTGCATTGATCGATTTTCAATTGTAAATTCATCTTGCATTCCTGGCCTATCTGCCACTTGGTTATGATGCACTATTCTTTTTATATATTGGTGGGTTTGACTTGCTAAAATTTTGATACACATTTTTTTGTCAAGCATAACACATATAATTATGTACAGCACCTACTACTTAATAATAGTAAAATGACTCTGTTACTGGTTATGTATTTACTGTACTGTACCACCCAGGCTGGAGTGCAGTGGCACAGTCATAGCGGCCTCAATCTCCTGGGCTCAAGCGATCCTCCTGCCTCAGCCTCTCAAGTAGAAGAGACTATAGCTGGACGCCACTATGCCCAGATAGTTTAAAATTTTTTTCTTTTTTGTAGAGCTAGGGTCTCTCTGTGTTGCCCAGGCTGGTCTTGAACTTCTGGGCTCATGTGATCCTCCCACCTCGGCCTCCCAAAGTACTGGGATTACAGACATGACTGTGGCTGCCTGAAAAGTTTTCATCAATGTTCATGAGGTGTATGGGGCTGTAGTACTCTTTTCTTGTAATTCCCCCAACCCCTTTTTTTGGCTTTGGGAACAGGCAATGTTGCACTCAGAACAAGTGGGAAAATGTTCCCTGCAGCCCTCTGTTTTGGAACAGCTTGTGTAGAATTGGTACTATTTCTTCAAGAAATGTTTGGGAGAATTAATCATTGAAGCCATCTGGGCCCAAACTTTACGGGAAGGTTTTAAACTAAAATTGAATTCTATAATTAGATATAGGGCTCTACAGATTTCATGTCTTCTTGGAGGAACTCTGGTAGTGTTATGGACTCAATGTTTGTGACTCTTCAAAATTCATCTTGAAGCCCTAACCCCCAGTGTAGCTGTATCTGGAGATGGGGCCTCCATGAAAGTTAAATAAGGTCATAAGTGTGGGGCCCTGATCCTCCAGGATTAGTGTCCTTATAAGAAAAGACACCACAGAGCATCAATATTATCCATCTTCCCAATACACCACTGGGCAAAGGCCATGAGAATGTAGTGAGAGGATGACTGGGAAGGGAGCCCTCACCAGAAACCAACTCAGCCAGAACCATGATCTTGGACTTTCAGCCTCCAGGACTATGAGGAAATAGATTGCTGTTATTTATGCCAGCCAGTCTATGGTATTTTGTTATGGCAGCCCAAGCTGACTAATGTAGGCAGCTTTGAAGAAATTTCACCATTTTTACTAATTGTCAAATATATTGGCATAAATAGTTCACAATATTATCCATTTAATGTCTTTTAGAAATGTCACTTGCCCTCTCTCGTTTCTGGTATTCTTATGTATTAAGCATTTTTTAGTCTAGAGATTTATCAATTTTATTAGTGTTCTTAAGAATTAGCTTTTGGCTTCTCTGATTTTCTGTTTCCATGTCTTTGGTTTTTGTGCTTTTTTTAAGAAACGATTTCCTTTTTTCTGCCTATTTTGGATTTAAGTTGTTTGCTTTTCTTCCGGTTTAAGGTAGAAGTTTAAGTTATTGAATTGCTTCTTTTACAATGTGTCTAATGCTATAAATTTCACTCCCAAGCTCTGTTTTAGACACATCCTACAAATTTAGATATGTCACATTTAAATTTTCAATCAATTCAAAATATTTTCTAATTTTGGCTACGATTTCTCATTCAATCCATGAGTTATTTAGAAATGTGTTTAAAGATATGTAAAGCCTTTCCAGAAATCTTTTTTAAAAATGATCTAATCCCACTGAGATCAGAAAACATACTTTGATTTGAATAATTTAAAATATCCTGATAGATTTTTAATGCCCAAACTATGGTTTATCTTAGTAAATGTACCATGTATAATACCTGAAAATCATGATTGTTTTACATGAAATGTTTTATGTCAATTGGGCTTAGTTCACAATTTTCTTCTGAGTAGTGAATTTGCTATTGTTATACACACATTTTTCATCTGTAGAACTTCTACTTGGTATATATACATGTGTGTTAAAAAATCTGATATGCCTTTCTTCTCCATGTTCATGGCTTTGGAAAATGTACAATCACCCATCAGTATCTGTGGGTTATTGGTTCCGGGACCCTGTGGATACCAAACTCCATGGTGCTCAAGTCCCTTACATAAAATAACGTAGTATTTGCAAATAACCTATGCCTGTCCTCCTGTATACCTTAAATCATCTCTAGACTACTTATAATACCTAATAGAATGTAAATGCTATGCAAATAGTTGTTACACTGTATTGCTTTTAAAATTTGTATTTTTAATTGTTGTATTTTTTTTAAGTTGCAGCATATGTGTATAGAACATGCATGTTTGTTACATAGGTATACATGTGCCATGGTGGTTTGCTGCACCTATCAACTCATCATATAGGTTTTAAGCCCTGCATACATTAAGTATTTGTCCTGTTATTCCTCCCCTTGCCCCCCGCCCCCTGACAGGCCCCAGTGTGTGTTGTTCCCTTCCTGTGTCCATGTGTTCTCATTGTTCAACTCCCACTAATGAGAACATGTGGTGTCTGGTTTCCAGTTCCTGTGTTAGTCTGCTTCCAGCTCCATCCATGTCCCTGCAAAGGACATGATCTCACTTTTTTTATGGTTGCATAGTATTTTATTACATAAAATGGCATAGTATTTGCATATACTGTAGTTTTAGCTCTCCCTTATTGTGAAGATGTAACCTTTTGGGGTTTCCTATGGGATTCTCCGATTTGGAGGGTCCTTGACCTTACCTTTCATCCTTTGTGCCCCGTGAGCCCACAATATCAAAGTGTGAGGTAATGGACATGCTTTCAGGTCAGAATTGGCTCTCCCCCCGCCAATATTCTACTCATTTCTCTGAGTTGGGACTTTCTTCAAGGCTTTGGTCTAGCAATTCATCATCTTTTCATCTCTTGTGCATGTTTTTAGGTGTATAACACACACACACACACACACACACTCTTCAAAGCTCCATTGTCAATAAAGTGATAAGCATTAGAATATGTGTTAATTTACGGGGAAAAACCCCCAACTTTAATCTATCTGGTGAAAAGTTTTAAAATGGCAAGTAGAATAGTGTGCTATTCCCATAAATAGGAAATATCTGTAGGTTTTTTTTTTTTTTTTTTTTTTTTTTTTTTTTTTTTTTGAGACCGACTTTCACTCTTTTTGCCCAGGCTGGAGTGCAATGGTGAGTTCTCGGCTCACCGCAACCTCCACCTCCTGGGTTCAAGCGATTCTCCTGCCTTGGCCTCCCAAGTAAGTGGGATTATAGGCATGTGCCACCAAGTCCAGCCAATTTTTTGTATTTTTAGTAGAGATGGGGTTTCACCATGTTAGCCAGGATGGTCTCAATCTCTTGACCTCGTGATCCACCTGCCTCAGCCTCCCAAAGTGCTGGGATTACAGGCGTGAGCCATTGTACCTGGCCGATTTTTTAAAGTGATGGAGTCTTGCTCTGTTGCCCAGGCAGGAGAGCAGTGGTGTGACCATAGCTCACTGTAGCCTTGAACTCCTGGGCTCAAGCAATTCTTCTGCTTCAGCCTCCTGAGTAGCTGGGACTACAGGTGCACACCACTGCGTCCAGCTAACTTTATTTGTTGTGGAGATGAGGTCTCACTTAGTTGCCCAGGCTGGTCTTGTACTCCTGGCTTCAAGTGATCCTCCCACCTCTGTCTCCCAGTGTGCTGTGTTTACAGGCGTGAGCCACTGTACCTGGCCTGTAGAATTCTTTTTTTTTTTTTTTTTTTTTTGAGATGGAGTTTCACTCTTGTTACCCAGGCTGGAGTGCAATGACTCGATCTCGGCTCACCGCAACCTCTGCCTCCTGGGTTCAGGCAATTCTCCTGCCTCAGCCTCCTGAGTAGCTGGGATTACAGGCATGCGCCACCATGCCCAGCTGATTTTTTGTATTTTTAGTAGAGACGGGGTTTCGCCATGTTGACCAGGATTGGCCTGTAGAATTCTTAATGCATTAATGCCAAGTGTACTATTTCCTATCAAATTTATTCTTTTTGATTCTCTAGGAGAGATAAGAATGTCCAAGTAATAAGTGTAAGACCTAGGAGCTGGTCTGACCCTGACCCTTTACACAGGTGACTTAATTTCATGTTCAACTCAATATCCTTGAAGGTTAAATGAGAAAAGACAAAGTTATCCCAATAGTCCATCGAATGCTAACATTTATGAATCTACAGATGCTTCCACATGTCAACTCCAACACTTATAACAGGCATTACTGAACAATAATAGCCCTCTTCCTCACTGGCATAATCCTTCCATAATAACTCTTCAGAGCCACACACTGGAAATCGATTGGAGACGGCACAAATCCTGTTTATCACCCTTACTCCTGCATATGACATCTTCTGACATGTGGCTGAAACAATTGTTTTCTACCACATTATACCCTTATTTTTCTAACAGTTATAATAGTTTAAGAATTAACACATAACCTCCCCAAAATCATTACCATCTTTCAGGATTGCAGAGAATTAAAGTGCAAAATTCAACTCTTTCATTAAGAAGAAAAAGACATAATCAGGTACAAAACCAAAAAAACTATTCTCAGCTTGACGTAAAAGCCTTCTATTGAGAAAAGTGCTAATAAATAAAAGACAATCAATGATACACTTCAGGTAAATAATAAAAATTTAATAGCAATATCATAAAATAAACACATATAAAAATCAAGTATTTAGTTTCAGATGTTAGAAGTAATATACATAATAAATTTAACATACTGATTGGTGCTGCAAGGTAAGATTTTATTTTCCAAATTATATATTATGCCAACCAGCCTGCTTTGAACTCAGAGGTTCAAAATTTTGCTTTTATTATGAAAAACATCTGCACTGTAGACACCTCTAACAAAACCATGTTATACTTGGCATATTGCAATTGAAGCTCTGTGACCATCATCCTAATGACCTAACTAAATCCTCTCATAATGGAAAGAAGTTCAAGAGACAAACATTTCTCTCCCTAGGATCCTAGTTGCCAAAACTGTCACAGTGTCAAAATAGAAATAATTCCTTCCTCCTTTTTAACATCATGTTGTCCTTGAAGCATATGTATAAGAGGAAGTTAAAAACCAAAAGAGCAACTTCAAGCTATATGCTAGGTCAATGTTAAATCTGCAGACTAATTTTTAGATATAGTATTCCTGGTTCTGGGCCTTAAAGAGAAATAAAGGCATTAAACCAACTTTTATTTGACTGTTCTTTCATAATCAAATCTTTCAGTGATTTCTAAGACTGTTTTTACAGCCTATGTGCTAGTTCAGGAGACACACTGGTTGTAAAAGGACTTGAGAATATAAACTTTAAGGCTAAAAATTTCATTTTCAAGATGTATCCATTTAAATAGAGCCCTTGACAAGGTTATTTAATGTAGAACTGCTGGGCAAAATGAAAGCAAGTATTAGACAGAAAAAAGGTCATGCTTAAAGACTTCATTGAAAAACCACAGGGAGGTCTTTCATAATGTAGGTAATTCCTTCAACCTAAAGACATTTGCTGAAAGTCAAAGTTACCCTGTTGCATAGTAAATCTTCAAAACCATTAAGTCAGTTTTTTGGGTCAACATTTCCTATGCTTTGGTTCAATGATTTAATAAAGCATATATTTTACAGGATTTAACCATATAATTCAATGAACAAAATAAAATAGATAAAAAATGTTAGAATCTTCATTGAAAAATGGCATGTTTCTCCATCTTTTTCATGCAGTAAGCACGCCCATCTTAAATCTGATTTTTAAAACAAATAATTGCTCTATTTCCCACTGAAGCTTGTTATTCTGATGAGCCAAATTCAAATGCTTTCATATAGTTGAGGATTAAAAAACATTTTGAGGATTATTCATCATTATCTGTAGAAAGAAGAAAAAAATTCATTTCAAATCAAGCTGTATCGACTTAAAAACAACCCATTCTTTTCATGCTAAAGGAGAAGAGCTTTAATGTAGTTTTAAACATACTTTTTATTGTATCACACATTCACTATAAAATATTCAGACAATACAATGAAGAACAAAATGGGAAGCAAAAATCATCTGTAAATGAAAGATAATCAATGTTAACTTGATAGAAATCCTCCTGCAATGCTTTCCTATGCACAGACAAATCTCTTTTAAAATTACACTAAAACGCAGTTTTGAAACATAGGTTTTCCACTTAAAACACTCTAGTGAATGGAAAGGTGGATATATAAGTGATAAAGCAACATTAGAAAATGTTAATGTTAGAATCTAGGTGGTAGGTGCATGGGTGATCACTTGTAAAGTTCTTTCAAATTTTCAGTATGATAAAAATTTGATAATAAAATGTTAAAAAAGAATAAATCATGGATTTATTCTATTCTATGTCGACTTCAATGTCTGCACAGTATTCTATTTAATGGATATGGCTATTTATTGGATAATTAAATTAACCATTACTATTTACAAACATTTTTATTAATTTTTTAATTCTAAAGATTATAATCAAGTGAATTAAACAGATTTCTTAGCTTAATCTTACATCCAAACACTATCTTCCACATTCTGGCAAAAGTGATTTTTCATTAAAATCAAAGGGTCACGTCAAGTCACTGCACTGCTTAAAACATTCGCTAGCTCCCTACTGCCTCAAAATGGAATCCACGCCACTTAACGTGGATTATAAAGCCCTCCCTCATCTGGCCTTTTAAATATTTCTCATCTTACCAAATTTCATTTCCCACCTTCCTCAACTATAATTTCCTTCCCTATAATTTATGCTTTAGGAACAATGAATTGCTGATAGCTCCCCTATGACATTTTGCATCCTTCCATGTGTAAGTATGTGTACTTATTTGTGTTAACTCCCATTTGTCTTTCAGAATCCGATTTTGATGTCCTTTCCCCTAGGAAGACCTATCCTCTCGTCATTATTTCTTTCAATGTAGTTGGATCATTACTTTATTACTTACATACATTATATTGCTTCCAAGGTAACACTTAACACTCTGTACTATCATTTATTTATTTTTTACAATTATAAAATGTTTCAAATAATCAGGAAAGTAATGAACACACATATCTATAATATGTAGAATTACCAAAAGCTAGCTTTTGGCCATACTGGTTTGGATTGTTTAAGTAAAAGCATATTACAGATAGAGAGTACCCTTTCTCAATCATTGCCATCTCTTCTTCCCCAGGGGCGTTTTCAACACTCTGAAATTGATGTGTATTTTTCCCACTGATGGGTTTTTGCTTTTATTTTTATAACATACATGCACATCTAAATACAATTTATAAACATTACATAATTGGTAAAATATTCTGCTTATTCAACTCATGTTTATGGGGCTTATCCATATTGATAGAAAAAATTTAATTCACTCATTTTAGCTGATGTCTAAAATTTCATGACATAAATGCAGCCCAATATTCCATCTAAAATGAATTTGGAGAGAAGGTATGTGTCTCCGTCTTAAGAATCTGTAAGGCCAGGCATGGTGGCTTGAACCTGTAATCTCAGCACTTTGGGAGGCCAAGTCAGGTGGATCACCTGAGGTCAGGAGTTTGAGACCAGCCCGGACAACATGATGAAACCCTGTCTCTACTAAAAATACAAAAATTAGCCAGGCAGGGTGGCAGGCACCTGCAATCCCAGCTACTTGGGAAGCTGAGGCAGGAGAATCGCTTGAACCCAGGAGGCAGAAGTTGCAGTTAGCAAAGATTGCACCACTGCACTCTAGCCTGGGCAACAGAGCAAGACATCATCTCAGGAAAAAAAAAAAAAAATCTATAAGGTTGGGCTGCTAATGCTAATACTAATACTCTATGTGAGAACATGGTAGCCTCTGCCAGGCTGCTACTGGCCACAGCTGTTACAATCCTTCTCTCCTTGTGGAAGAATTTATTAGGAATACTATCAAATTGTTCACACATTTTATTAGCAGCTCTATTTGACTTCTGACTCTGGATAGTGTCTAGCTATGGACAAGGCAGCATTATCAACAGCTGAAGTTACTGATGCTTACCAAACCTGTACCATAACAGTATCAGGAGAGTTAAATAGCAGAGGCTGTCTTTTCAGGACTCATTTAACTTCCAAGGAAATAAAACAGAAATGTGTTTTTGACAATCTTCTTTTTCACTTGTACCTTAATGACTTGATGTCACTTTCAGGTGAGCTAGCTCCTGTCTCCCTTCTTTACTCTCCCCTTTCCCCAACACAGAGAATCGAAGTGTGTAAGTACCATATGCAGATGACACGGTTTTATCTCCTAGATGTGGCCTAAAAGATAGCTATCTGGACAACTGCCTGTAAGACAGCTAGGCTGGGTGTGTGGGTCACACCTGGAATCCTGGCACTCTGGGAGGCTGCTGCGGGCAGACTGCTTCAGCCCAGGCAATGTGGCGAAATACCACCTCTACAAAAAAAAAAAAAAAAAAAAAAACACAAAAAATACAAAAATGAGTTAGGCATGGTAGCTCAATCACTCAGGAGGCTGAAGTGGGAGGACTGCTTGAGCCTGGGAGGAGGAGGTTGCAGTAGCTGAGATCATGCCACTGCACTCCAACCTAGGCAACAGCGCCAAGCCCTGTCTCAAAACAAAACAACACAACACAACAAAAAACCCAAATCAAAAAGGACAGCTACTGTATATATGGGCTCTAACGACTTCCAATAAGAAGGACTGCAAAACAGTTACTCTGAATCAATGAATATGAAATCTAAATCATTATTTCATTTAACTCTCATGAGTAACAATAAAAAACAGCAAGTTATCCAGACAATTCAATATACGTTTTATAACTAGTTTCTTTAGTAGGTATAGTAGTAAGTTATAATATTTTATGGGCTGTACTAAATTTTTTTTAAAGCTACACCTGCTGTAATGGTATGTACTAAGAGTTTTAGAAAAGCCTGCCAGGGTAGGCATTTGCCTTTAATTGCTTTACATTTTTTCTAGGTGGAAGGAATTACTGTCGGGCTTTATGATACAGAACTTTGGATACTCTTTTCCCTTTCATTTGTGTCCTGGAGAAAATCTAATATTGCTTCTTGAGGGGTGTATTAACCCAGCCTAATTCTCGGTCCTTTGCAGGGGAAATGGCTTTCTGTGTAGGCGTAGCCTTTTGAAGCCACTCAGTTGTCAAAAGAGGATGTCAAGTCTACATTGTGAATAAGCTGATTGTTACAGTTCTTCACTTAAGGGGCAAAGCAAACTAAAAGCTCTCCAGATACTTGTGGAGCAAAACTGAACCCCAAGAATACTGTGGGTATTACTTATGAAAAGCTCTATTGAAACAATTCTTAGGGAGAACTGTCTGGAGGTTGAATAGTCTGAATATAAATAGAATTAGTTTGCTACACTCCACAGATTTACTTAAACGGAATCATCCTCTGGCCTCGTGCCATTAACTTACAGCATGACACATGAGAAACAGCCTCATGAAATCTAAATATTGTAAAAATTACTGAGCATACTTTCCATTCCACTACAGCACTGTTTTGTAAAATGAAGTGCAAGATCTCAATGAAATAAGAAATCCACAAGTACCAGAAAACATTTACATTTTATATTTTCATTTTGATAAAATAATTTTTTAATATTTATAAAAATACATCTGTTTTACAGTAATAATTCACAACTGACAGAAATTTTCTATGACTAAAACTTGAGTTTTTTTTACTAGAGTTTATAGACCCTTGGATTCTTGTGCCTGGAAAAAATATTTTTTGCCCCTTAGACGGATACATATGTTATTGAAGTTTGAGGAACACTGTATGATAGTGCCCTCTTTTTAAAGATCATGGGAAAATTGTTCCTTTGGTTTCAATACCAAAATAGCTGTCCTCTGAGCAACTAAAATGTTTTGTTGCATGAATACTGTGACTCATGTAATTAATTAGGTTTTCTGCTTTGTGAAAAAGACCAGCACCAAATTTGTTTCCCGTTTTTAGAAAAGTGGAGACCTTTTGAACATGAAGTTTGTATTCTTCATTCCTGGGCATGTTATACTGCTCGTGCACATTTGTCCAATAAGTTGCTTTCCCCAAACCTTTTTTTAAAACTCAGACTGGGCCCCTTCCTTACAACTTATACAAAAATTAACTCAAGATGGATTAAAGATTTAAATGAAAAAACCCCGAGAAGAAAACCTAGGCAATAGCATTCAGGACACAGGCGTAGGCAAAGACTTCATCACTAAAACACCAAAAGCAGCAATGGCAACAAAAGCCAAAATAAACAAATGGGATCTGATTAAACTAAAAAGCTTCCATACAGCAAAAGAAACTATCATTAGACTGAACCGGCAACCAACAGAATGGGGAAAAATTTTCGTAATCTACCCATCTGATAAAGGGCTAATACCCAGAATCTACAAAGAACTTAAACAAATTTACAAGAAAACAACCCCATCAAAAAGTGGGTGAAGGATATAAACAGACACTTTTCAAAAGAAGACATTTATGCAGTCAACAAACATATGAAAAAAGCTCATCATCACTGGTCATTAGAGAAATGCAAATCAAAACCCCAATGAGATACCATCTTATGCCAGTTAGAATGGTGAGCATTAAAAAACAGAAGACAACAGATGCTGGAGAGGATGTGGAGAAATAGGAAGGCTTTTACACTGATGGTGGGAGTGTAAATTAGTTCAACCATTGTAGAAGGCAGTGTGGCAATTCCTCAAGGATATAGAAATACCATTTGACCCAGCAATCCCATTACTAGGTATGTACCCAAAGGATTATAAATCATTCTATTATAAAGACACATGCAACACCTCTGTTTATTTTGGCACTGTTCACAATGGCAAAGACTTGGAACCAACACAAATGCCCATTAGTGATAAACTGGATAAAGAAAATGTGGCACATATACACCATGGAATACTATGCAGCCATAAAAAATGATAAGTCCATGTCCTTTGCAGGGACATGGGTGAAGCTGAAAACCATCATTCTCAGCAAACTGACACAAGAACAGAAAATCAAACACTGCACGTTCTCATTCATAAATGAGTGTTGAACAATGAGAATACCTGGTCACAGGGACGGGAACATCACACACTGGGGCCTGTTGGGGGTGAGGGGGCTAGGGGAGGGATAACATCAGGAGAAATACCTAATGTAGATGATGGGGTGATGGATGAGCAAACCACCATGGCACGTGTATATCTATGTAACAAACCTGCACATTCTGCACATGTATCCCAGAACTTAAAGTATAATTAAAAAAAATTTATTTAAACAATTACACCTCATTGATCTGACATTCAAACTTAAAAAAAAAGAATTATTTTGTACTATATATATATTTAAATGCAATCTTGGTCTTTTTTGTATGAATATGCAAACAAATTTTGTATGGAATATAAATAAATTTTATAAACATTTTTATTGCTAAAATTAAGTGTCCACATTTAAAACCCTCAATTTTAGTCTATGAATTAAACCTTTAAATTAATAAGACTAATGTTTGGGCAAATAATCTAGAAATAAATTCTTGTTCCAAATTTTACCTATTGCTTTTTGTGTTTAAAAGTTTTGCCAGGTGCAGTGGCTCACGCCTATAATCCCAGCACTTTGGGAGGCCAAGGAGGGCTAATCATTTGAGGTCAGGAGTTTGAGGGCAGCCTGGCCAACCATAGTGAGACCCCATTTCTACTAAAAGTACAAAAATTAGGCAGGTGTGGTGGCACCTGTAGGCCCAACTACTCAGGAGGCTGAGACAGGAGAATCACTTGAACCCAGGCAGCAGAGGTTGCAATGAGCTGAGATTGCGCCACTGCACTCCAGCCTGGGCAACAGAGCAAGACTCCATCTCACACACACACACACAAAGTTTAATACTACATCCTTGATAAGAATTATTCTAGGGCCAGGCGCAGTGGCTCACACCTGGAATCCTAGCACTGTGGGAGGCCGAGGCAGGCAGATCACCTGAGGTCAAGAGTTCAAGATCTGCCTGGCCCACATGGTGAAACCCTGTCTCTACTAAAAATACAAAAATCAGCAGGTGTGGTGGCACATGCCTATAATCCCACCTTCTTGGGAGACTAAGACAGGAGAATCGCTTGTGCCTAGGGGGTGGAGGTTGCAGTGAGCCGAGATGGCACCACTGCACTCCAGCCTGGGCAACAAGACTCTGTCACAAAAAACAAAATAAAAAACAAAACAAAGAATTATTTTAATTTATAATCTTGCTCATTTTAGAGACAGGGTCTGGCTCTGTTGCAGAGGCTGAGTGCAGTGGCAAAATCACAGCTCACTGGAGCTTCACACTCCTGGGCTCAAGCAATCCTCCGGCCTCAGTCTCCTGAGTAGCTGGGACTACAGGTGCCCACCACCATGCCTAGCTAATTAAAAATTTTTTTGTGCGTAAAGATAGGATTTCAGTGTTGTCTAGGATGGTCTCAAACTTCTGGCCTCAAGCGATCCTCCCAGTTAAACCTCCCAAGTAGCTGGAATCACAACTATGTGCCACTACACCCAGCTAGGATTATTCTAATTGCTACAGCTGTCCAAAAATCTGTCTAGTAAGATTTTTAAAAATCTCGTTCAAATGTCACTTATAAATTAAATTAAAAATATGGACTTAAAGGACTTATCAGTGAAACTTTATGACAAGTTTGATTTTATAATTACTTAAAAGTAATATAGTCCCCATGCAGATTTCACAAAATGGATGTGATTTAAGCTGATTCATATACATGTATCATCTTGTTTTCTCACATTTATTGAAAATTATACAGACATGTGAGGAAATCTTACCTTCTTGGTAGGCTCCATCTGCCATGACTAAATGAAGAATCTTGGCATAAAGATGCTGATGTTCATTTCCCAAAATATTTTGAACTATTTTTGAACAAATTTCAATATTTTCATCTTCATCTTCATGAATAGCCTATACCAAATTCCCAAATATAAATTAATATTTGAATAACTTTCTCTAATTATAGACTTCACTTTTTGTTTATAATAAATCTAATGACCAATAAAGATCATCAACATTCTCTAATCTTCAGAGCACATTTTAAGTGTTTTAGTTGACTTTTTACCTACCTTTATTTTCTCATAAACCTCAAAGAATTTTTCAAAGCCTATTTCCTGCTCCAGATGAAGTCTCAGTTCCTCTAAATGGTTAAAGACACTATCGTATTCACATTCACTAGTAGTTTCACCATCACTGTTATCTAAAAACAAAATTAAAATAGGCATTTCGATTAAAAAATAAAACTGAATAAAATAATTCTTACCCTAATAGACTAAAATTCTATGACAGATGAATAATGTCACTGAAGTAGACTACTTCTACTTTCAATATAAACAGTTTTTGTCATTTTAATATTTGTCCTTTATATGGCAAAAAGTATGTCTAAATCTGTCTAAACAAGAATATTACTTTTCCTTTATACACATAAAAAATAAATCAGCTTGGAATAAAAATATTACCAGAGATGTTATTTAAATGAATAAAAAATGGAAAAAGCACACCTCCATGTTCTTCTTTGAAGCAGCTAACTGTACTACTATTTTCAAAAGTTGATAATAAATGCAGGCCATACCATGGAAAAGCCTGCGGAAGGTAGACAACCTAAGACATACATTATTACATGTTAGCAAAGCACCTAGAAATTATAAATGGCCAACATGTTTTGTCATGTACATGCTCAAGACACTTTGAAAAAAAATTACTTAATCTTTTCACATTAGCTTTTCTTCCTAAATTAATATACTTATTGAAATAGACACACTTTCTGTGCATCTTGGGGGTAATGCTGTAACAGAGAAAGTTTCCAAATTTATGAAAAGAGTTTTTCATACTTTAAAAACTGCTTTCAGTGTAAAACCTGCTGATTAGCCAATATATGTAGAAGCTCTTTCTAAAATATAGAATGCTAAGAAAACATTATTATCTTTATTACTGGAAAAATTGGTCAAGAAGTGGTTATTAGAATTAAAATGCTTCAAAAAAGCATTGCTGTAATAGGAAATAGAAAATTTAATGGGAAAGAAATGGAAAATCACACATTTGTATGAAAAGAAAAAGAATGAAAAAGGAGAGACACCCAGAGGCATGCTTCAGTTGTATTTAAAGTTGAAGATGGTTCATAGCAGAGATTAGAAAAATACACTCTACTTGAAATACTTGTAAACTATAAAAGAAAAAGGTCCAAAACTCCGATGATGCACCTACCTGAGTGCCATTCTTCGTTCAGGGCACTTTCACTGCTGGGGTTGTCATCTTCATCTGCCACATCTGTCCCATTTGCAGCTGGCTCCACATAACTGTTCTTTAAGACTGACTCTTCTTCTTCACTGTATTCTTCACCAGGCTGTTCCCTAAGTAACTGTTCCATCGATGCCTGCAGCTCTTGTAAATCTGTGTCAGTTTCTTCAAACACACTGAAATTATAAAAGTTTAACTAAAAGTTTCAAACACATTGAAATTTACAAAGTTAAACAACTAAAACCACCTCATGCTGAAATTTTACTCCTACTTAAAAATCCTAATAGTAGATAACAAGAAATCTGGAAAAATCCTTGTTTTTCACCCATAAGTTGAGGATGAATACAGTTGATAAATATATCACATAACACATATTCTGGAATATATAAGCCAGGAGATGATTTGTTTAAAATGATCCCAACTTGCCAAAGAGAATTACATAACTCTCAATGTTACTCATTGCTTAAATTCTGAAATAATGTTTTGACATTTTAAGAGGCCAGACTACAGAAGTTTTTCTAAAACAAATAATAAATTATTTTCTCCTTTATGAAATTTTGAAATTTTCAAAATCTCTATGTGGCTAATAGCTGGACACTATACAAAAGGCTTTCCATATAAATGTCCACTGGGCATTTGAATTTTTAGAAATGGAAATATTTAGGGAATTACATGTTCATATTAACAGGATAACCCAGTTAATAAAATGGTCACCAGAAATCTTATCTTAGATGCCTATTCATAAAAATGTTCTAACAAGTAACTTTTTCTGTGTAATTAGCCTATACCAACCACCATAACTCTTCACCGGAGAATCTTGTTTCCAAAGTATTGGTCAGAATATTAATTCTATTTTCATGGGATTATAGATGCTAAAATGAAATAACTTATACAAATAATACCATACATTTATATAGAACTATCGTTTATTAAACAGTTTTATCCTATTATTCAAATTTTATCCACACCACATTCACTTTAGAGACATGGAAACTACTGACCAAAGTGTTTAAATGACTTGCTCAAGGCCACATAGTCAATACATGACACAGCATTGCAATCTAGGTCTTTGACCGCTTCTATAATGTCTGAGAAACATACTCGGAAACTTTTTTCCTCTTATGATGATTTGCTTCTTTCTCCTAACGTGGCATGGAAATGGAAAAGTTTGTAGACTAAAGGAGTTAACTGATGTTTTAGAGGTCTGAGACTTCTGAAAGAGATTATTTAACTAAGCCAAGGATCTCATCTCTGAGAAAGACAATGCTTAACAGGACAAAAGGGTAATTAACGCCTTTCTAAAAGTTTAGACCAAATCAAATATTTACTGAAGAACTAAAATATAACCATTACTGTGCAAGACTGTCAATATAATTTCCATTAATAGAAAGAGTAAATAATCTTTTTATGTAGAAATATCTTTATTTTGTACTTATATGTACAAACTGCTACAATTTGACTTACAGGAGCTAAAGAAAAGCAAAACATCTAATTATAAGGAGAAAAAAGTGTCTAATCTCTTGAGTCATCCCCCTAGCAGCATTTAACTTAATATACAATTGCAAGACTAATTTAGGCTGGGTGCAGGGGCTCATGCCTATAATCCTAGCCCTTTGGGAGGCTGAGACAAGAGGACTGCTTGAGGCCAGGAGTTTGAGACCAGCCTGGGCAACATAGTGAGACCTTCTCTGTAGAAAAAAAAATTGTAAAACACTTAGCTGGGCATGGTGGCACGCGCCTGTATTCCTAGCTACTAGGGAGTCTGTGGCAGGAGGACTGCTTGAGCCCAGGAGTCCAGGGCTGCTATGAGCTACAATTGTAGCACTGTACTCTAGCTAGGGTGACAGAGTGAGACCGTATCTCCCGAAAAAATTTTATTCAAAAAAATCAGTGTAGTACGCACACCTGCTATGTACCATCACTACAATGAGTAAATGTTGACCTGTTTATAAAATCTTCTAGTGAACGGCCTAGAGGAATTAGTCCCCTCTGCAGATGGTATTAATTGAGGCAGCTAAACTTGCCACTATAAGAAAGTATGAGAAGATTAAGAACTTTTACTACATGAGCACCAGAAAACTTTAAGGTACTTAAAAAAATCTGGTCTTGAATTCAGTTTTTAGTTGGCTTTCTTATAAAACCTTGACTAAAATTTAGACCAAAAACCACATTTTTTTTTCCCAAAGACAAACATCAAGTGAAATTTCCCTATATCAGTATGAAATAACTTACTTTATAAATAACTTGGTTTTCAAATTTTTCAATTAATACTAAAGGCTTCTAACTTAAATTTTAAAATAAAATCTGACATCAACTGCTCATTAAAAAAACACATGCATAACACAAACTTAGCAGCTTAAAGAAAAAAAATAAAAGAACATAAGCCACAAATAAGCTATAGTTCATTCAGATAAAAATAAATGATTTCATAAAATTTTGGGGGAAAAAACTGTTACTCAGCACTTTGTCAACGATAAAAATCCTGAATGTTGTTATATTCTCCAATAAGATTAATAAAAACAGTATTTCAGTATTTAATGACCAGAGTCAAGCAGAATAAACAAAAGTAAAAAGGTAACTTTTCTTCTAGATTGTAAGGTCATTAGTAAAAATCTACAGAACTCTTAAGAAAAATGAAAAAGGCAATCTTTTAAAAATAAAGTTTCACTAGAAACTTAAGCAGCAAGGACGAGGATTAAAAATCCCCAAAACCAGAAAACGTACCAGCTGCATCGATCCTACCTAACTCATTACAGAAGAAAACACTGGGAGAGTGACATACTTTCATTCAGATCAAAATAGAAGTTCTTTCTAAAGGTAAAAGTAAAGAGCAGAAACTTAAGTTCAAAGAAATCACAAAATAAATTATAAAAATTCTAATATTTTATAACTTTTTCTCCAGGTGATTTGAACACACTACCTGCTCACCTCACTCTAGAATACTTTGGTTTTATTACCCCAAAAAGAGGTCTGAGGGGGTTTAGAAGGTTGACCAATGCTGAACGAGGTAAAGGAAGGTTATTATCTGAGGCGCTATCACTCCTCACAGCTCTCAGAGGTGCTGCTTGTTAAATTTCCCTCCTAGATTCAGGATTCCCCATGAATCACAAAGAAAGCAAGTTAGTGAAAACAATCCAATTACATGCAGAACTCATGCGTGCACTCACACATGTGGACACACACACAAATGAAACTAGTCTACCTGCTAGTCCCCAACTGCCACGGCTTTCAAATCACACGTGACAGGAGGGAGAGGTGGAGCTTTCTGGTCATTTTCCTGGGAAACTGTAGAGCACAGTCATGAATTGCTTAACAAAAGAAAACGTCCTGAGAAATGCATTGTTATGGGCATTTCTCAGAACGTTTCCTGTTATTAAGCAATTCATGACTGTGTTCTACAGTTTCAATAGCCTAGGTATGTAGGCTGTACACCATACAACAATTTCATTGTTGTGCCAACTACTTACCAAGGCTATACAGTATAGCCTATTACTCCTAAGCTACAAACCTGGACAGCATATCACTGGAAGCAACTATAACACAATGGTATTTGTCTATTCTAAATATATCTAAACATAGAAAAGGTATAGTGAAAATATGGAATAAAAGATAAAAAATGGTAAACTTTATAGGATACTTATCATAGGACTTTACTATACACTACTGTAGACTTATAAACACAGTATGCACTTAGGCTACACTAAATTTATAAATTAATTTTTCTGCAAAAATAAATTAACTTGGCCAGGCACAGTGACTCACACCTGTAATCCCAGCTATTTGGGAGGCTGAGGTGGGAAGATCGCTGAAGCCCAGCAGAGGATGCAGTGAGGTATGATCATGCCACACTGCACTCCAGCTTATCTATTTTTCATTTTCGAGACAGGGTCTCACTCTGCTGCCCAGGATGGGGTGCAGTGGGATAATCATGGCTCACTGCTGCCTCAAACTCTTGGGCTCCAGTGATTTTTCCACCTCAGCCACCTGAGTAGCTGGGACTGCAAGGTGTGTGGTAACAAACCTGGCTATTTAAAGAAATTTTTTTTGGCCAGGCGTGGTAGCTCATGCCTGTAATCCCAGCACTTTGGGAAGCTGAGGTGGGCAGATAACTTGAGGTAACGAGTTTGAGACCAGCCTGACTAATACAGTGAAACTCTGTTTTCACCAAAAATACAAAAATTAACCAGCCATGGTGGCAAGCGCCTGTGATCCCAGCTACTTGGGAGGCTGAAGCAGGAGAATCACTTGAACTCGGGAGGCAGAGGTTGCAGTGAGCTGAGATCACGCCACTGCACTCCAGCCTGGGTGACAGAGCATGACTGTCTCAAAAAAAAAATTTTTTTTTTTTTGTCTCACTATGTTGCCCAGGCTGGTTTCAAACTACTGGGTTCAAGCAATCCTTCTGCCTTAGCCTCCCAATGTGCTGGGATTATACGTGTGAGCCACTATGTCCAACCTGCACTCCAGCTAGGTGACAGAGTGAGACCCTGTCTTAAAATAAATAAATAAAAATAATATGCAGGAGACATAATAGCAGAGGTTAATGACTAAAAAAAGAGCTAGGCAAGTCATCCCCCTTTTTTTTTTTTACATATAAATTCAGAAACTCTTTTAATGCTAGTGTTTACTAATGACATTTACTTACATGTCTTCAGAATCAGAAGGTCCTTCTTTAATATGCTCATCTTCAATTTCATCTATTTCAAGATTGTCTTGACGAACATCTCCTATGGTGGGAACGTCCATCAGGGTTCTGAACAGCTTTGAGAGATCTGGAAGTGAACATGTCCTTAACATCTAAAATAAGAATCAATGAATTTCTTATTAGGAGGAAGAGAATTAAAACATGAAAATGAGAAAAAACTACAGCTTATCACAATTTTGGTGTGATATATATATATATCCCCTTGCTCTAAAAATATTATATTTTATATACTGTATAAAATTTTTAGAGCAAAAAATATTGTATATTTTAGAACAAAATATATATATATATTTTTTATATATATATATGTATATATATATATATAATATTTTTAGAGCAAGAGGATTCAAAGGTGACTTGCAAAAGCCTAGACCCTAATTCTCTTAAATTTTAGCTCAGTCTTTTTTCCCAGGAAACTAAACTTGGGGGTTATGCTTGGGTTTTAACACAGGAATTCCCTGATATTATCTTTGAAAAGTGGGAGAGGTATCTATTCAGGTACACACATGGAATGGAATTGGAAAACTGTCAGGACGCGGGCAGTGCTGGAAACTACCGTTTTCTCCTTCTCACTTATGACCCATTTGTTCCCCTTGCATGGTGTTTCTGTTAAGTGTTCCTCTCATCTTCCTATGGTCAGCTCATACAGTCTTGCCCAAAAGCTACGGCATGCTTAGTCTGAAGCTTGGCTAAGCAACACCACACATAATTCATGGCCCCCTGTATCACTGGATTGTAGGAATTGCTGGTTATCCACATACTGGTGAAACCAGGGGCCTCAAATCGGTATAGAGAGAAGCCTATCATTGCTTCCATGACCATGGGACTGTGAGTGGAACTTTTCTCACGAAAACAGAAAACTGGAAGGACAAGCACTCTGATGTTAATGCTGAGCATGTCTGTAGTAACAATAAGAAGGAACTCAGCCAACTAAGTTGAGCAGAAAAAAAAAAGCACAGTCGAGGTGTTGAAAATGTGAATCTGTACTGGATAAGATGAGGGATAATCTTTATCCTTTATCCAACAACCTTTCAACAATGAGAATGTGATAGATAGACATGGCTATGAAACAACGAATTACATACATAACTCTCACGCTGGGTTAGCCCTAAAGGAATCTGTGAAGTTTGAAACATGACTACCAAGGCACTGATAGGAACTCTTCACCAGATGGGAGCCTGTGAGGAAAACACAATGCTTAGCATATAAATGAAAATTTATATACTTGGCCAATTTTATTGGTACAATCTGTTTTTGAGAATAAAAATGATTTCCATTATTTGAACCTAATTTAAATGTTCTCACACTCAAGGGAAAAATTGTTATGAACTACAAGTTGGTAAAAGTACACTGCTTGTTAAATCGCTTAGTGAAGGTACTGAAAGTATTTCTTTTGCTTTCCCACTATCTGTAGAATCTACACTTTCCTTGTTTATTATTTTAGTGGTTTGACCATGTATAACATAAAATAGCAGTATGTACCAGAAATGGTTTCCTTAGATACCTACTTATCAATAAACGGCACATATATATTACATATTTAAATTTGAGGGGACTACACAAAATAATGCAGTATTTTTTAGGCTAAGATACATTTTGGCCCTGGTAAAATAATCTCAATTCTTTCCTTTTGCTAACCAAAATAACTTTCATAACTTAGCGTAATACAGTTAGAAGGAAATTCAAGTGGTCATGTAATTTGACAACTTACCTCCAGGAATGGGTTTGTACCAACCCACTAATCTGACAGCTATCAACTGGGTAAGCCTTTCATGTTCACCACAGTACTCCCTGATAGACTTATAAGCGACCCCCCCCCCCCACTTATTCCCCAACGGCTTTGGAGCCTTTTTTTCCCTGTAGATTTATTTATCTATTTTCAGTTTTTCCTTTTGATCTTTTTAACAATACAAATGATTTTTTTATTTCAGTTGTTTTTGGGCTACACGTGATTTTTGGTTACCTGGCTAAGTTCTTCAGTGGTGATTTCTGAGATTTTGGTGCATGCAACACCCAAGCAGTGTATACTGAAATTTTACATAAAAACCCAATGTAGTCTTTTATCCCTCACCCAACTTCCACCCTTCCCCGCTTGAGTCCCCAAAGTCCATTGTATCACTCTTATGCCTTTTTGACTTCATGGCTTAGTTCCCACTTATAAATGAGAACATATGCTATTTGGTTTTCTATTTCTGAGTTACTTCATTTAGAAGAATGGCCTCCAGCTCCATCCAAGTTGCTGCATTCCTTTTTATGGCTAAGTAGTCTTCCATGGTACATATATTCCACATTTTCTTTATGCACTCGTTGGTTGACAGGCACACTTAGGTAGTTTCCCTATCTTTGCAATTGCAAATTGTGCTGCTACAAACATGCAGGGTGTGTGTGTATGTGTGTATGTTTTTCATATAATTACTTCTTTTCCTTTGGACAGACACCCAGTAGTGGGATTGCTGGATTAAATGGTAGTTCTACTTTTACTTCTTTAAGGGACCTCCATACTGTTTCCCATAGCAGTTGTACTAATTTACATTCCCAATAGCGGTGTAAAACTGTTCCCTTTTCTGACAATGAATAAAAACTGTCATTTTGTAAAAAAGGAAAAAAAAAAAAACTGTTCCCTTTTCATCACATCCAAGCCAACATCTACTGTTTTTTTGACTTCTTAATTATGGCCATTCTTGGCCAGGCACAGTGGCTCACACCTGTAATCCTAGCATGTTGGGAGGCCAAGGTGAGCAGATCACTTGAGGTCAGGAGTGTAAGGCCAGCCTGGCCAACACGGTGAAACTCTGTCTCTATTAAAAATACAAAAACTTGCCAGGCATGGTGGTGCATGCCTGTAATCCCAGCTACTTGGGAGGCTAGGGCAGGAGAAATGCTTGAACCTGGGAGGCAGAGGTTGCAGAGAGCAGAGAACACACCCCTGCACTCCAGCCTGGGCAACAAAGTGAGACCCTGTCTCAAAAAAAAAAAGAAAGAAAGAAAAAAAAATTATGGCCATGCTTGCAGGCATAAGGTGGTATCTCATTGTGGCTTTAATATGTATTTCCCTGATGATCAGTGATGTTGAGCAATTTTTCATACGTTTGTTGGATGTCTGTATGTCTTCTTTTGAGAAATGTCTATAACCTTTGCTCACTTTTTGATGGGATTACTTGTTTTTTTCTTATTTGTTTGAGTTCCTCGTAAATTCTGGATATTAGATTAGTAAGTTTTAAACAAGGTTATTCATCTTTGGTCAAGAGAATTTTATAAAAGAACACTTTCAGTTCTATAATTTTTATTCTACTAATTTTTTTCATGTTGTTTAAACAATATGTAGTTTTAACATCCACAGAAGGAAATCTTTCTGAAAATAAGAGCTCATCTATAACACACTGTCTAAGATCTTACTTCACGTATAGTTTTTTTCAAGATTGTTACATGTAAATTATCATGTAACAATCCTGAAAGAAATTATTTGGTATTTAGTATTTGGTATCTAGTATTTGGTACCATTATAAATTATTGGTATATAGTATTTGGTACCATTATAAATTCAAACGGGAGAGCAATATTTTGGTGAACCTTAAAATATTTTCTTAAAATGTTTCCTTTAGTTTTTATTGCTGTTTAGTTCTATTTTTCTCAAAGACGTAGAGAACCATATAACGTAGTGAATGAATTCAGTATTACCTGCATTAACAGAACTTCATCTAAAAAATTCTACTCAAAATAATTCTAATTCCCTCTTTGAGCTTCAGTATTTTTCATATAAAATTATGAAGTATAGTATTCCAATTATACTACCAAGTGGCTTATGATGAGCACATCTGTTTAGCCTCTGCTCACTGCGACTCAATGATGACGCTGCTCTCCAAGAATAACCTCTGTGAGTATCTGCTTACTTCAACCCATCAATCAGGCTCAAAATGGATTTAAAACATTAATTTAAAAATCAAGAACACTTCCCAAAGGCAAAAACTATGACCATTATATAAGAATGAAATATTTTAACAAATCAAAAGACATCTAAGGCACATGTACTATTTATGTGAATTATACATTGATCATTTTTTGCCACTTTGCATTTGCTATATAACAAGAAATTCTCAAGTTTTCATAAAGGAGATCCGTTTTTCACTCCACTCCCCCGAAGGGAAAAGTAACCACAAAACACATCTGTTCTCTCTCCATCCCTTATTCACTAACCCCTAAAGTGAAGAAACACAAACTGATTGAAGGCAAATTGGCAAGAGGGCACTGACAATGAAGTGTGTGTCCTTCCTGCTCTCTTTCTCAGATCTGCCTGCCACAAAGTGTGTGAGTATCCTGCTTCCTTTCTGTTGCCTTGTGGTAAGCACAAACAGCTCAGACCTATGCCTGCTTTCTAGGGACAAGATAGGTCTCGCTCTCAGTCTCCCTGCTACTGGAGCTTGATGGGTATAAAGCTCTTACTATGGGTTAAAAAGGTTTATTCTTCACATTCCAAGGACTAGTCATTGAAGGAAAATATTGAGAGGCATGATTTTAGGCCAAATCTAAGCCACACTCCAGTAGAGCTTTATCAAAAATAAAACTGATATGATGATCTTTATCTGACTCTTTTTTTTTTTTTGAGATGGAGTCTCGCTCTTGTTGCCCAGGCTGGAATGCAGTGGTGCAATTTCAGCTCACCACAGCCTCTGCCTCCCGGGTTCAAGCGATTCTCCTCTTTCAGCTTCCCTAGCAGCTGGGATTACAGGCATGTGCCACCACACCCAGCTGATTCTGTATTTTTAGTAGAGACAGGTTTTCACCAGGTTGGCCAGGCTGGTGTCGAACTTCTGACCTGAGGTGATCCACCCACCTTGGCCTCCCAAAGTGCTGGGATTACAGGTGTGAGCCACTGCGTCTGGCCATGACTGACTTTTATGTCATCTTAACTGGCTGCAAATAAAGTGGAGTTAGGAGGTAATTCTCTATTTCAACCTCCTTCAGATTTCATGGGATTATAGTTAATCAAATCTTGAAAATTTTACTAGTTTAAAAAATTTGATTGAAAAAATATATTGATAATTTCTCTTTATAAAATCATAACAAATGCAAAGTTTTGATTTGAATCTTTACA